GCCACATCGGTAAATGCGGAGACATGACGTTTTATGAACGGCCATTTCACGGTATTAAAAATTCTCACAATTAGGAACTTCTAAAAACTAAATTATACCTTTCCTTCGAGTATACGATTGAAAGAAGACGTCATTTTCTACCGAATGAGCAAAATAATGAATATTTTTATGCATGTTTTCAATGAAATATGATTGAATAGTAAAGGGTATCGAAAATCAATGAGAAAAGTTCATGCTACTCAAGTAGTCATTTGTCACAGAGTACAGTTTATTTATGCAACCGGCAAGAAGTTCTTTCGAAAGCCGGCATCCTGAGGTAACTGAATTATTATAGACTTATGCTGCAAGATGATTAGTTTTACAACCCTACTTAATTAATCTTTTTGAAACGAAAACGCATTTTGGCACTTCGGTTGACACTTCATGAGTTAACCCACCTACTGTTCTTCCTTGTTTACTTTAATTCCAACGTAAGTCAGAGGCTGGGGTGTAGCGCATTGGCAATGTGCGAGGTGAAGCGCCCTCCTCAGTGAATCCTGAGTTACTCCTGACCCCTACGAGGGGCTACGTTTCAGAGGTAGTGAACCGAAGCGGAGTCAGATTGCCTTATTGAACATGTTTACCGGGGTGTGCTGAGTTTACGCAACATCAGAATTACTACCGTATGGCGCGCTTTAAAGTAGGCCTTCGCTCCGCGTCAAACCCTGCACCCAATCCCATCCAACGGGTGCATAGGAGAGGGCAGAGCGAGTGAGGTCCACACTGGGAAATCCATCCTCATAGCACTTAAGTGTTACTCACATCATAGAAAACCTTACGCGCTTGAACATATCGCGACACACTAAAAGCTGTGGCTTGGAAGGCCGCAAACTAATTGCGTAAGTCCGCCCTCACGGGAGTATTTATGGAGGGGATAGAGGCTAACAGTCAGGCTGCAGAGGCCCCTGCTCAATGCAACCAAGCGGTTCGTTTGCCTTTGTCAGCAACTGCCTCCAAGCCCACCTTCAGTCGTCCTGACATTCCTTTGTCGGCGGAGCTTGGTAGGTGAGACAGGAGGGAGTGCGATAGATGTTGCTGTCCAAGTCCCCCTTACTATAAACTAATTCGCGCGTGCCAACTCTGATGCGCCCACTACCTTGGGCACGCAGTGGAGGTCATCGCTTGCGACGGTCAAAACGTCATTGTGTCTTCACATCCAGCAATCTCTGGACTTACCCTTATACAGCCTCCACAAATAAACTTCCTCAGGGAGGGTTACAGGCAATTCTGTTAGCTGGCAAGATGATTCGAATCGTCTTTCTATCAAAAAAGCCGTGGCGCATGATGGAATTCGGCGGAACGCTTGGATGAGTCATCAGCTCTATCAGAGAGAGAAAAATGTTTTATTTTGGAAGTAACGTTCCGAAGCCTTCAGCAAAAACTTTCCCCGTTCACGTGGCTAGAATAGAAATCAGTAGATGATGAGAGAGTAAATGGGTTTGCTAACATGATACGGCCCATTCCGAAAGTCGGGAACGTTCGTTAACTTTCAGGCAGTCCAACAGTAAACCGTCCAGAAAGGAGAGGAACCCTCCACACCCAGGAACCAACCCTCTACAAAGAGAATATTGCGGTTCTTAGTGGGACTCGCCCCTCTGAGGTGGGATAACTGAAACAACTAAGCGCCGTATAGAGCTTCTGGAACAGACGTCAAGGGCCAAGGCGACGAGACGCTGGAGTCACCTCTGCCGTCGAGAACGAGGTCGAGGCTTGCCTGCCACAGGAAGTCAATGATCGTCTCATGGCTACAAGAACAAATCCATCAACGAGCCAGTGCCAGAAGCCCCTACATGCAACCATCACTCCGGATCACGTGTCCACACTGCTCCAGGACAATTGGCCATCGTGTAGGCCCTTTTTGATCCCGTGTTTTCACGAAAATCTTAGGTGAAATACCGTAGTCCAGGCCCTATTATCATATCTCGCCTATCTGTTCACACGCAGCCCCCTAGGCTATGTGCACTTATTTCACACTACGAGCATACACGCCACCACATATTAACATAATGCCACTCTCCTGCAGTAAGCATGCGATCCAGTTTGCCATCCCCGTTATGGCGAGTGGGACGTCGCATGCCAGTACATGCCGAGTCTACATTTGAGGCATGCTCTGTGAGGTAGTCTGATGCATGTAGCGGGAATCGTATCACGTGTGTGGCGCACACAGGTGGACTGTTCAATTAGACCAGCCGCTACGCTCATCAGTTGTTGGCAGAGAGGCTCGGGTAGTGGACTGGTGCATGTGGAAGGGATGAGAGAGACGGACCCTGCGAATCCACTCTTACAGAAATCCAGCGCGTTCCGCACCATAATAAACCTAACGCGTCTGAACATATCAGGACGCCTTAGAAGTCGTGGCTTGGAAGGCTGCTGGCTGACAAGATAACTCGGTCTGTACGGGAGTACTCTTGAGGGACTGGAGGACCGCTGGTCAGGCCGCAATGGCCCCCTCTTAATAGGATCTTAATGGCATTTTCACACACGCGAGTTCTGAAGCCCTAGTCAGGTAAGCCTCTGACTTGAATATTTATAGTTTCATTGGTGCATGAAACGCGTAGACATTTCAGCCACGGCATCCACGTCCATTTTCGTTCGCAGTGTCTTTGCTTGTCGTCGGAACTTTGTCAATGCGAGAAAGGAGGGAGGGGGAGATGCTTCTCAGATCGGATTCGCATTAAAAGTTGTGCCAAAGTTATCATTGCGGCCCATCCGGAACAGTGATACCTTTCGTTTTTCGTGATTTTCAAGCCATCAATATGAATGTGCAGTCCGACTCTTAAGAAACGGTTGGAAACGCCACCTGAAATGTATCTTAGCCGCCGCATTATCAATGCAGAGCGCCAGAGTAGGTGGGTTCGGAAGGAGTTGGCTGTTCGATATAGTTCGCATACTCTTCGGTGACTCGATAGGGCTATCGATACCTTTATAGCACCTACCACATCCAGTTCTGCTTGAACCAACATCGAAGAGGGAAAGCAAATAGTTCCGCAGTTAGTAGATACCCCGGTTAAGTTCTGCATTATCCTTCCAGATTATGACTACGATTTGACCCGGTTTGTTCCAGTCTAAATATTTACACCTTATTCGGAGTCTTTTATAAACCTCTCAAGAAAGGGCGAAGAGAAGACGAAGGTAGTTTTCGAGAGGTCCTTGTTAGTGGACGTAGTGCCTCCACAGAAAAAGGAAACCGCTGTTTTCGAACGTGGTTTGAATTTTCACCCAGCGTACAACGAACCCCAGTCTTTCATTCCCTGACCGGGCTGGCACCTTAGCAACATAATTGTTTCAAGAAACGTGAACACTGAACATACGTCGGGCTATGTGAAGCTTGAAGACAGCTGAACTATCACTAAAAACATTTGGAAAGACGCGAAACAAAGCAAACACGTTTAAACCGACGACGACAAACGATCGAGGCCTGCATTAAACTCAAGATCGTTTTTATTATTGACGAAGACAGGATGAGCGCAGAGGCAAACAAAAAAGAGAGAAAAAGAAGGACAGACTCTTCTTCGAAAAATCCGATGGTTAAAAAGGGAACAGAGTGTCCGCTGTAGAGGACAGTAGTGCGCAGCAGTAGTCATGTCACTCCGATCCAACAGAAGTGAGAGGAGACACCAGTTGTGGACGCACAGTTCTCAACGGTCCTTGTTTTCCTCTTAGTTTTAGGAGTACTAACTGGATGTTGCTAATCCAGACGCAGGATTGACTTTCGGTCGGTCTGCTGTGACCACAAGGGAGTGTTGACGACCGAAGCGTCGACTAGTGCCGCACAGCACACAGAACTTAGCATCATCAAAGAACCGTTCTCCACACTGGCTGCAGAATTTGCAGTATGCGAAACTTTCGGTGCTGTCTGAAATCGAAATGTTCTGTAATATCGTGGTTGTCTTGGTAGGCGGCCCTCCTTGATTTGGCTCCCTCCTCTTCTCAGTTAAGTGAGCCTGTTCGTTGAGGGCAAAAGGTCGGCCATCTCGGGAAGACTTGGATGTGCCGGAGTCCGAACGAAGGGTCTGAGTTAAAATCGTCGAGGTCACGCTCCCGAGAGCGTAGGAAGTCAGATTCGAGGGCTTGCTAAAAAAGAAAGAGAAGATGGCGAGATGAGGTTGGCTTATCAACATATACTATCACCTGCTTAAATTAAACTGAACACTTTTGCAATACAGAGGCTTAATGGAGATAAATTACTGGTACGTCATGTGGCCAGGACGCCGGAGATATGAATTGAACTACCAGATCCTGGCACGTATCTGTGTTGTGCCGGGGCGGTTACTGCTAGTAAACTCCATGCTCCTAACAGTTTTCGCTTGTGGTTTTGTGAAGCAAACGGATGTCTATTAGTGCTATTTGTTCTCCCTACTGTTCCAAGGCCCACGTCTTCTCAGGGCAGTGTCTATTGCACAGTACGTGCATAACAACATGTTAGGGTGCGTTGAAAAAACCTCCAGTCGTGGGCCACGAAAACTCTGTGATTTTATGTCTGTTCATGGCTTTTTGGATATAAAAATATTTTTCTAGGGAAAGGGCAAAAAGTCGACTTTCTAGGGACATTTAGAAGACACTTGAGTTATCTTGATATTTAGACATGTAAAGTACAATAAGTGCACTGATTCGAATATTGTTCGTAATTGTCTTTACATGACTTATAATGCTCCAAAGCATCATTTATTTAGGTTCAGTAGGAGCAATCCAGTGATCCCTTTCTTTTTAAATCAAGCAGGTGTCCCAACATCAAAGCATACTGCAATACATCTGAAACCATTCGCACTCTCCATAGAAACGATTGGCAAGTGCACATGTATTAGCAACATTATTCAGACTAAATGCCGCAAGCAATGCTTTCTTTGGAGCCTGAAATGTGTTATTGCTTAGACTTCTAAGTTTCACGATGACGTAATTTCCGACAGGATATTTTGAGAAAATAGTCCGCTTCTAAACAAATTAGAGGAAAAAGAAAGCATCATACGAACAGCACAAAATGACGTAAAATGTATAAGCCACTTAAGCAGTACCTTTCCTCTGAAATGAAAACAGATCCCCGAGGATATTCGAATAAAAATCGAAATATCAGGGTGAATGACTTGTCGTAAGGGGATACTTAAAAATCTCGGAAATAACAAGCGTAGTTAACCAGCATTGGAAGATTTCACGCCCCTGGTTCCAACACTGGTGGCCAACAATGTCAGCGCCCTTACTGCGCACAACGTTGTGTGCTTTCTTATTTTATCAGAAATACTGAAGCGGTAGCAAGTAGAACGACTATTTATATGTAAAACTAGCAGGCGCCAGCAGCAGATAGTCTTATATTTGAAGCGAGTCTCAGAAAACAACAGCTGAAAAGAGACGAGAATAACAGGAAGAGTTCAAGGCCAAGTGTCAGGAACACAGCCCAAACATCCGTTGGACATCATCGAGCGTTGCAGAACGGAACATACGTGATTAGGTTTGCCTAAGGGCCCTGACCTAGAAATCCCGAAGGCGGTTGCAAAGAGATGAGCAAGCCTAATTGATGAGTCTTACCAGTTTCCACTACTTTGGCGGCAACATTTCAAAATTGTCGAGTTCTTACTTACTGTAACTTACAAGGATTTCTCCAAGAAACAGATAAACGCAAGGGTCTGTTTGTTGTAGCCAACTTTAATTCTAGCGAGGGGCTTGTGCAGTGCGCATCAATGGCAGGGAAACTAATTTACTATATTTTCTCCTGCTGTTTAGAGGAAACTTGGAGCAACTCATCAGCAGAATGCATTGCAAGGCCACTCTCTATGGCAGAATACCTCACAAACTGAGTCAAGAGAAAGTTGGTGTCGCCAGGTATGCACTTCAACTTAGTCTCGAAACGCCTCCGCAGTAGGTCACGATCGATAACTGACCACCTGAGTCCTGATTACTGGTCTCTGGGGCGACCGGCACGGAGACAAGTCCGTTTTCATNCATAAACGTCTGCAGTATTGATTTAGGGAGATTTGTCGTCAGTAAATGGGGATTCACATGCTATCATCGTCTTGCAGACGACGGTCTCTGACAAAAAAGCAGGCCCGGGTGAAGAACTCTCGTGTATTACATTAGCTCGATCTTTTACGACAGACGACAACGCCCGGAACACGAGTTATATTTTTGATCTCCTGACAGAGAGACGCCTGTCCATTATTCGGAATGGTATCTTGTGACAATAAGAATGACGGGGTTTATAAGTGTTTCATGAGTTATTAACCCTCAAAGAAATACATGTTTTCGGTACTTCATCATCAGGCCCATACGGTTACATAGGGAATGAAAATATGAGACATTGACGAGGTTTATAAAAATGAATGTTATCTGCTGGAATGTTCACGTTCTTCAAGACGCAGACAGAAACTTACTGTCCGTGACTACACTCTCAACTGCCTGTTTATCCGATATGCGGTCGACTGAATCCGTTGGGAGATCAGTGAAACACCAAGATCTTATAGCTTTTGACATTCCTTGCGCCGCTTTACCTTTTGTCTAAACAAGGATAATGCGAAAACGGCGCCGTTCAGAGCAGAATCCGGCCTCCGACTGCAGTTTCCCTGCAGCACTTGACTCGAGTATAGAAGTTTCTCAGTCTAAAACAAAGCGGTTTCACCCCACGGGAAGCGTTCGATTCCTTCCGCATTGTGAAGGGATCGAGACGGTCGACTTTTCCTTCCAGCTGAAGTTTCCTATACTGTCGAGTTTATAATGCCGAGCAAAAATGGGGCGTCACATACGTCGTGCATGCACGGTGTTCTGACATATCTGAACATATCGTCAGTCTCACCATGAAGTTCAGACATATGATGCTACGGCCGACATGACCATAGCCTACGGCCCAGGAGGCTGGCATTGAGTATTAGTGGTCTGCAAAACATGCAGCTGTCGGCAGCTGACGTGCCCGTCGAGAATTCCAGCCCCGTCCGCCGTCTCATGCATGGAACTTGAAGCCCAATCAACAATCACAAACACCGCCTGCCAGTGACGCACGAAAGGAGCATTGGGCTAGAATGCTCGGGAATTAAATTGCGGACGATATAATCTCAAAAACGCTCCGTTGCATTGGCGGGGCCGTCATGATCATCAATTAGAAAAAGTGAACAAACATGGTAACTACTTAGCTTACGACGTTTAGCTCAGCAGTTCTTCTGAGCTCAGTAATATAAAGATAAGCATACAACAATTGGCGAGTACTTAATATGATATCGTTAAGTATTAAATAGGAATTACATTATCACTGTGATTTTAACCAGCAGCATCGAACTCACTAGGTGCCGGAAGAATAGGTTGATGGCTTCAACACGTTACCAGCGGGCACAGATACATCGTTTGAAGGGACGCTTTCCACATCGAGATACACCAGACTGTGAGAGTTGGCAGGACTGGCTGCCGCAGATTGTTTGCACTGGTCGGTGGCCTCTGCTGTCATATATTGAGAATTGTTGGTTTTCTCAGTCCCGACGGACATGAAACTGACGCTTGTGACTGAAATCGGGTCACATGGAGATGGAGGCAGCACAGGCTTCTTAAGGGTATATAGAAAAGTAGGAAAACCAATGGGACCCAATACAAGCTCTTATAAGTAAACGAATTTTTGATTAACTGAACATACTAATATTCCAAAATATTTGGGCTTGAAATAAAATCTGACCTTAACGTGGGAAGGGGCAAAACAGTTGGAGTAGGTGATTAAGAGGAAAGTGTGAGGAATAGTCATCTTTCTATGAACGACAAAACAGCCAAACAATTATATTCCAAGGGCAGAATCAGAGGCAGGCTGCAAAGTAAATACTAAAAGAACCTAAAAAGACTGCCTGCTGGGGTGGGGGAGTGTGATAGGCGCAATGAATGGGATTAATTACAATGAAACGGCGCGAGGTGTCTTCGACGAGACATGCCTCAGGTCTCATTATAGTTTACACACGAGCCATAAGTTGGTTCAGCATGTGCATTGTGCTGCAAATATCTCCACTTTTGTACCTTTCAGGATTATTTCCGATTAAGTCCAATTTTGCCGACAATTTGTTGTTTCTTTATCTTCTAAGCTATAATGATACCCATCGCAAATCCTTGTTCAGACACTTTATCAGCCTTATATATCTTATGTACCTAGATAAACAGAGCTGGGCAACATTTACCTCAAGTTCCCCCTGACATCTGCCGCTGGAGCTTCGATCACCTGCTTCAGTTGTCTTGACGAACTGATAGAATACGGGAGAGGACGCAGTATTTGGACGGGAGAGGGACGACCGTTGGGCCTCCTGAGCCTCTTTGAAACATATTTCAACTGGTGGCAGAGGACAGAGTTCAATAGGTCGCATACAATTCTTTTCAGCGGAGGGAACCGTGGCAGCGTCCTGACGGGCCACCAGACCAGGGACAGTCTCGCAGTGCGATTTCGATTGGCGGCTCTTCTGTGACTGGTGACTACCAACAAGCGAAACCGCTGTGGGACCGTGGCGTTGATGGTGACGATGCTGATGATGACGGTGACAATGGTGACGGCGTTCACAGGCGGCTGTATTTTTGACGTCGTTGTCGACAGCTGAGATGTGGATACCGTTTCTAGATTCGCAGCGCGTCGGTAGACTCCTGGAGGGGACAGTGTCCACACCGGAAGAAGATTTGCAATTGTTCTTTACATAATTGCTGATTTCGGGATGTTCATGTGGTCTGTTGTGTTGGTGTTTTACCTTCGAAGGCGTTAAGTGGGTGTGTTTATCTGCGTTCGAGCGTAGATTAGGCGTGGTGACATAACTATCGCCATCACTGGCAGGGAGAGCAGTATTTGTAATGACTGCGGGTGTGGTTACTTTGGAGTTGTCAGTGGTTGTGGCCCTACACTTCCTGAGACAGCACGCCGAGGCAGTCTTTGACGACAAACAGTCGGTCAAGAATTTGGGTTCAATAGTGGAAGGGGATGATGTCGCTCCTGGCAGGCACTGGGATCTTCTAGACGTTCCTCCCACTTTCTGTTTTACCTCCTCCTCCTCCTCGGCCTCTTCTACTGGGCCTTTCTGACTACATTCATGGGAAGAGTCCAGTGGTGGAGAAAGCGTAGACAGGGAGGAGACTGATGAAACGGCTGAGGGTGACGAATACTTCGTGAAATTATCACTTATGTTGGAATCGCGCAGATTATTCCTAGCACAGAAAAGCTGGGAAACTGAAAATGTAGGCGGCAGAGATAGAAAAAAAGAGTTAACATAAAGCAGCGAGGAGACTTCGAGCTGAATATGATTTCTACCAGGTCAGTACCTGTTAATGGCACCAAATTTCTGAGGGCGCACAGCGGCCTGCCTTCTAAAACATCTATGGCCGGCTGCAAAGTTAGTTTCTTTCAAAAATATGTAAACACTTTCAAAACAAGGATGCTTTTTTAAAATATTTTCACAGAGGAGATCCTTATTCCTAAGCCTTTTCTAGGCCTGCGCTTGGACGCTTTGAAGCACCTCCCGTAGGCCCTCAAGCGACCTGATTCATAAGACGCTGGTCAAACGAGGTTTCGGACACTTAAGTTCTCAGCAAGTCTCTAACTGTAGTTTGAGTGAGACAGCGGCCGGAAAAATGGATAACTGAGGGTGGAGCGGGGGTTTGCGGCCATATACGTATCGACTGCGACCCAGGGTATTTTTGCATACGATTTGTTGGTGTGCATCCCAAGGCGCTGGGCTAACTACGACACAACCTTAGGTGGCTAAGAGTACGTCAGACGGCAGAAAATGGCAGTACCTTCGGACACAATCACGTAAGTTGTGTCAATCCTACTTAAGTTATTTTTACCAGTAGTTGTTGATCGAAACTGGGTTGGAGACCCAAATACTGCATGATCCAGCTGAACTATAGGGGCTCAGACGCGATGTGCAGATATTACTTAAAATAAACTAAATTCTCACTAAAAGAATAACTCCAGCCTATCTTACTCCATACGTTCTGATCATGTTATTCGAAAGTAAATAGGGCGGGCACAATTTTGCAAAGCAAATGAAGGATATACAATCATCAGAACACTCAGCGTATTAACCTGAGAGTTTCGACTCGTGCAGGAGCCAAGCATATTCGTTTTTACAAGTCCTAATATTCTTGAACATCTTCTTTACTGCCTAAAATTCTTTACCGTTAGATTTCCGATTGTTAACGACCACAAAATTTTAAGCAAAGAAAAGTGGCAGATAGTTTGCAAACCCAAAAGGGAGGCGGCAAATGCCCACCTGATCTCGAATCACTCTCCGGAGGGTAGGCGAGTTCGCAGTTAGGCATGATGGTCTTGTTGCAATTGCTGACCTGAAGCAATGATTCGTCACGAGACGGAGGTATGCCTGCGGGCAGAAGCTGCTTCAAGAAGACGTCAAAAGCACTGGACGACTGCAACTTATCCGGTAGGTTCGACAGGGTAGGAATTATGTCGTTCAGCAGGAACTGCATCTTCTGCATCTCCGCGGCACAGGATAGAGTTGGATGATTCTCGGTCCTAGAGTCAGAAGTAGAAGCCTCTTTCACATCTGTGCTATCCTGCTGAGTGGCGCGTCCATAAACTCTGTGTGAGTACTACAAAGAGACACCGACTAAGTCAATGTTGCGATTAAGAATAAAAAATGCAACTGAAATGACTGTCAAATCAACGTTTCATGGCCAAAGAAAAATTGTGTGGGAAAGCTCACTTTCATGCGCTGTAGAAAGCGAGCTTTTGCGTCTTTCTGTTCCTCCGTCAGTTCAGTTGTCTGCGCGTCACGAAGCTCTTTGCATAAGTCCTTATGCTTCTCGAAGACACCTTCGCTAAATCGCCTACCACATTTTCTGCAGAGCACGAGTCCTATGTAGAAAAGGATAGAAGAAGCAAATAAAAAACAAGGGTTGGAAGCAAGATGTTTTTATTTTTCGGAAATATGACCCTGTATAAAGGGCAAAAGAGAAACTTTATAGGAATTCGGTTGTTGCACCTATCGTCATTATTAGTTTCGAAATCAACACAAAAAGAGGGTCTAAGTTGTCGAGCTTGCACCCGGGCGCCGGCTGACAGACATACACTGAATTGAAGTTGGCAACAGCATAGATCAAATTACAAAGATCTAATCTGTGCAGTCTTCGGCCAACGTGGTCGTTAAAATATTTTGCCCCTTGCCCAAGGCTGCAAAGATGTTCCATTAAATTACATTTCTCATCAGAAGCCGGTAAGACTTGCAAGAATGTGTACATTTATGGAAAAAACTCCCGATTATACCTTTGAATGCTCAAGAGGGAGGCGATCAAAGTGGACTACATGCGCACCTTTCACTACCTGTGACATTCCTGATGTCAGTTTCTATTCTTGTCTTTGTTCTGCTACTAACCGTTTGTTAGTAGCAGACTTTACTCATACCACCGTGCCTTTGTCTCTGTACCCCTATTTGTCGGTTCTCGTCATTCTTTGTTCTTTGTCCATTGTCTATTTCTCTTTGTCTCTGCTCGCTTTTAGACCGACCACCACATTTTGGCGTCACTCGCTGACTGCTCGTCTAATCACCTCAAATGTACGTCCACTTTCCAATTTATTCCCCGCCTTATTAACTCTGTCATGCTCCGCTAATCATACTGTTTATTGCTATAGAACCACAGAGAATAACCGAGTTATCCCGACTGTCTTCTGACATAGCTTTGACCTTGAGTGCGTCTATTCCGGTGAATAAAGCAGCACTGAATCGAGAAAATCTAAAGAATACTAACACTACCTACCAATCAATCCGGTGTTGCTATACTAAATCCGACATCGTAAGTTTACTGGGAGCAAAGAAAAGGTATTCAACTAAAAAACGATCCTATACGGCTAATAAAGATATCGAGTCATACTGCGGAAAGTTGTAAATCTTTCTCCGTGGGTGTAAAACAGCGGTAATTAAGGTGGTCAGATCTACCGTCGCCAGATGCCCAGTATTGAGGACAATGAACGAGGCCTGTTGGAATCAATTATATTATCTTAAAAAGTGGACCCATTAACTACGTATAAGTACAAACCTTAACGTGTTGAAGAGCTAAACAGAACATGGAAAAACTTAAGAGTAGATTATCGAATGAGTTGAACTAAGCCTTCAATCGTCGGTAAGAGAAATACATCGGTTTAGTCGGACTGCCAGTTTTGGCTGGCCTTACTCGGGGACATGATAAAAGTTTCCACTCTTCTTACAAATGCAAGTGCTCAACGACCAATTTTTGTCCTCCGGGAAGCTCCGCTGTGCATTCTATTTAGCCGTTTGTAGTTCCTGGCCTATTTCTTTGGGTTGGAATTTCTGCCCAGAGGAATAAAAGAATTGAAATATCGAACTGACTGGCGTACGACCTACTCGGACACATGTGTCTCCACGAAAATTTGCAATAAAACACTGCGACTAAAGCAGCATCACCACGTCTCTCCCTATCAGTCCGGACATCCGTAGGCCATACATAGACATACTCCACACCACAAATTTTCCCCCGTAATCTCCGAACGCTTTCTTGTAGCAGGCATGTGGCCCGCCTCACATGAGCGGGATCCATGCTCTTGATGCATTCTGGCATATGAGGTAGCGACAAGTCGAGTGTAGCACACGCAGATGGATTTTCTAAGTCTGTCAACTACTGCATCAAATCCCATCATCGGCTGGTTGACAGGCTCATGCAGCTGATTGGTGCACGGAAGAGGAAGGAGAGAATGAGGCCGATCACACGAAATATCAGCATATTAAGTCTCTTACGACGCACTAAAAGTCTTTGCTTTGAAGGTTGCAAACGAGTGGAACAAGTCGGTCCTCGTAGTCAGTACTGTATGTGGGGAATGAATGACTACAGTTGAAATAGTCAGATCCAACAGCTCCTTCCTAATGTGACGTTCACGGTACTCTCATCTAGATGGCATCCTGAAAGCCTGGTGCAAACTGAGGGAACTAGATCTTGCGTGAGCGCTTGGGGAGGTTTTACAGCTTTGTTACGCATAGCACTCGAGTCCGCCTCCTGTCGTCCAGTCGTCGTCTTACCATTGGAACCAGGGAGGTGATGGAAAAGAACGTGGAAGGTGCTGCGCAGGACTGTCTCACTAAAAACTAATTCGCGAGCAAGTCGTCGCATTGCGCGTTCTCCAGGGGCACATTGAGAACGCCATCGTTTGCAGTGTTCAAAACGTCACACAGGCACCCACACTCTAAACTCCCAAACCACATTCCAAGACTTAAATGAAGTCAGGCAGTCGCCTCTATCGCCTAAGTGCAGTAACTGAAATACTGCAAGAGCACTCGGTCTGAACTGTAAACCAACTACATCATAGATTCTTAGGGAGTTTTGGATCCTTTTTAGGTGAATGACTGTTTTTATGGTTACCAAGGCCCTTATAAAACTTGATATAAAAAGGTAAACCAGACCTGACTGCAGTGGCTCTTAGCTGTGTCCGTAACCAATAGTTGTATTGACGAACATATGGGGGGACTGGCAGGAAAACGACTGCCTATTATTAACAAATACTAACTGCAGAAGTGTAAACAAATTTGCTAAACAAAAGGAGTCCTACCTTCGGAAATTATTTATTCTTATCGTCCAAGCTAGTAATCCAGCAAGACATACCCTGGTTTTTCGGGTCCATACGTTTCTCGAAACTACACATATCTAACAGGAAAAATCTTTTAGCGCGAAAAGATAATCCAATGACGTCCTCACATTTACAGTTGGCTGCCTTGGCAACCAACCGTGCCAAATCTAGCTTCCAGCAACTAATATTAAACAGGCACAGTCTAAAGACTAACCTGCTTGGGTGACCTCGGCCGGAAGTGGCTCGATGAACACCGGCTCTTCCCCCTGTTCGGCTCGTTTGGCCGCTCTCGCAGAAAGCACAATGTGAAGAAACTCCTCGTGTCTGAGGCGCCACCTCTTTCGACGTTCTGCGCCCAAAGCCAGCATGTCAGCCATAGAACCGATCTTTAATTTGACGCCCATGATGTTGGAGATGACTGGCGAGGGTTTTTGTGCCTCTCGCTTTGGATCGTTAGAACAGTTTTTTCTTATCCAATCCCGTTCACATCCCACTCTGTGCTTTTCCTGTACGTAGTCATTGTGATTAATTTAGCAGATAAAGCATTTAAAAATTAAATGCAAAATCTTAGAAGAGAGAAAAGGCGTTCTATGTATGAGAAAAAGATTATTCTACCAAGAGCTATCCGCTAGTTTGTCTAAACGGCAACGTGCTAAGAATTTTTATTGTTCGAATAGATAGGTTAAATTGACATATAACCTATAACAACCGAAGGCAACCCGTTTAAGATACGAAAAACTAGAGAGAACATAGAGTCGACTTCAGAAAGCACAGAAGTAAACATTGCGAAATCTTGTGAAATCTAAAATCTAAACAAGCTTGACATATAGGCAAACACTGCATGGCGACATACTAATGCAAATTCTAGAAGAAAACAAGATGTAGCAGATGAATGGGGAAGATCTGGGATTTTTGACAACACCTTCTCTCAATCTTTAAAACGTCCATCTGCACAAAACGTGTGCGTCTTTTAAACAGTCAGATCAGGTTCCATCTAAAATTTAAATTGCAGATTCTTAAACGTTTTTGTAGAAAAACCACAAAAGTGTCTCTGTAACATCTAAAGCATATACGCTAGAAACGTTTACGTTCCGCAAAATTCTTGTTGCATGTTGCCTTGACTTCCAAAGCCGGCAGTTGGGTGAAACTCAAAGACCAATGCATTTGAGTTAATCAAACTATTAGGGAAAATGATCGCTAATGTTTAATATAACGACATCAAGTATTGAAAAATAGATGTGCTAGCTGAAGCAATGCCTGAGAAGCAGCAAATACGAAACTCTACCAACAAGTTGCGCGCGCACAATGTATGTCATGCGTGTAGCCGGGCATGGCAAATAAAAATTTCAACACGGATAAATTCTGCCCGTCTTTTCAGTAACTTTAAGTTTTGTCGGGTGATCAGTATAAAGTTTAGCAGGAAAAGTATTTGGGTTAAAATGAAGTCATATAGGGCAACTCAGGAGAAATTGCGTTAATTGTCCCAGTACAGCAGACGAGCAAGTGATGATGAAGGTTTAGGTGAACCAGTGCAATAGTGGAGCCGTATTTTCACCAACATTCGCCAAATCAACATTGCATTGGCGAAATAAGACTAATTTGGCTTAATTTTCGAAAACGAGGAACAATTCCAAAAAATCTACGGCATATAGAAGCCACTGATCACTTCCTCCACAGTGCGTCCCGTCAGAGGAAAGAGTTGTAAAGATTTCCGTCACAGCCGTAAATTCCCAAAATTCATTAGGGATTGACCCATTTCAAAGCATGTCCCTCAGATTCGATCAAAACAAATTTGTAAGCTCCTAATCCAATGGTAGTCCTTCTGAGTATCATTAACACAGCGAGAAAACCATTCTCCAGAGATGCTTTCATTTAAAACATCCATACATCGTAAACTTTCTGAATGGGCCTCGAGGCACTGCACTATCACTGATAGTTTTATAAAATTCCTAAAGCAAAACACCCCTGATATTCTGTCTGGCTAGCACCGTAGGCGTGAATGGACGCTCCCCCCTACAATATGCAAAAATGATGCTGGTCGGGTCCCAGGAATCTCCCTTAACCTCAGTACATGTTTGGGAGTCAAAAACAAAATATTTACTTCACAGATTATATTTTCCTATTTTATTCGATATTCTTAAGCTCATTGAAAAATAACGTTATTCTTTCATGAGATGTAGAATATCGAATGAAATTTAAAAATATAATCTGCGACGTAAATGCGTTGTATCCGACTCCTAAACATGTACTGTGGTTAGGGGAGATTCCCGAAACCCGACCAGTACCATTTTTGCATAACCTCCTATCATTTTGGTCGTCAAATAACTAATTGAAGGACTGATTTTGGATCGGCTAGATCTCCATGAAATGTTTAAACGTTTCATACGGAGCTATCGAGCAAATGCACCGTATTTGCAAATATAAATAAGAAGAATTTAGAGTGCCAAATTCGCAAATCGATAACGTTGTAACTTATAAATTCAGCGCCAGAATAAATCCATTCATCCATGCATTGCAGGTGACAATTGAACATACCAAAGACTTTTGAAAAAAGTGTCGATGACAGTATTGACATGGGAGTAGTTCTAAGTTTTCTCCCTGCGCTAAATTTCCTGTAACTTAAAGCTGTCAGCTTACTGTTTTCGCTGGCCATTTCCCAATGAGTGGGAACTGATAGAAATAAAAAATAATTCAAATGTGGCGGACAGGATTTTGCAATTCTGTCTTCAAGGGTTTTTAGGGATTTATAATTATTCACGGCGTTAAACTCCAAGATTTGTGTTTAGTTTATCAAGGAAAAATATGCATTTGGTCGTCGAACATATAATTTACGATGCTGTGTGCGCGTAAGGAATACACAGACAAAAAACGCGCAGGGATAGCGCAGGCATGAGAGTGAAAAGTTTTATCATAAGAATGAGAGGCTTACTAATAAAGTCCCGGAGGAATGCACAAGATGTAGGGCCTTTATAGTACAAGTAGTAATTGTTCTGCTGTGGGCCATAGTAACATCTTTGACGCCGAGAAACTGTTATCGAGCATTTTCGATTTTCATAACAGACCGAATCAGTTTAGTTCAGCGTATTTAAGGGAAATAACTTAGTCATTGACTTCCAAATTTTCCTGGGAAAAATCGGAAGAACTATCAACAGTGTAAATAAATTACAGCGTCAAAGGGAAACCGACATATATTCAGACAGTTCATCGGTGTTAATAGTTACCCAATGACAAAGTCCGCCTGTTTCAGATTCGTGTCTGTCAGGCCGATGTTTGAATACGCCACAGGTCGAGACGTTAAAACCTCCTCGTAGAGGTTATGCCATGGTTCCACGACAAGGTTGGGGAAAAAATACTTTCCCACTTCCAGCCCTCATTGGGCCAAATTGAGTTTGGGCGAATGCCCTGGAGATAAGTTGTAGCCATGATTGGGAATATCATCATACTGGAGGGCACAGTCCATGCCCTGCACGATACGGAAAGTTCGTTTCAAGTCCCCACTTAACTGCCTACAACTCAGAGGATAGAGATTAAGGTTTTTTAGGCTGATCTCTTATGGCGGTGTACCTTGACTCCTTACTAAGTTCGCGGCTTGCCTTTGTACCCCTTGCAGTAAGTTGCCGTCCTGCTGCGCCCAGGCTCTCCGTGCCTCAACCATATATTCAAGATGCGGCCTTAAAAACGCGGAAAAACTTTGAAGAATTATTTTTCATCGAAGGCTTTGAATGTCCTGCTGATGGCGTAAAGCATTTAAGTTGAGGCTTAAGCCGCCTCACAACACTGTGTAGAAGGATTTAGGCCGTCGATGATTTAAATTCCGAGGCCTTTCTGCATTTCCGTTTCTCGTAGAGATATCCCATTCAGATAGTAGAGTCACGTATTAGAAACGCGATTTCAATTTTCGATTCGCAGCACGATGCATTTGTTCAGATTGTAGGACAGTAGTAATTTGGGGGACTACTCGCCCTATCGACGAAGATTTTCCAGATTTTCGTGTCATCTGCAAACACCGCACAACCACAGTCTAATTCCCGGACGCAATCGTTACTGAGCTAGTAGAAGTGTGTCAGTCCGAGCATCGATCATTAATGAGCACCTGTCTCCATGACTGTGCGCCCTGATTGCCGTTGCTCTGCACATAAAACTTACGAACTACTGGCAAGGAAATTCTCGATATATTTAAGAAGTTTGTCGCCGATGCGCGTCATTACCAGCTCGTAAATAGACTCTGGTGCTGAACACTGCGGAGCGTCTTTCGGAAATCTATGTAGGCCATATGCACAGTGTGTTTTACATCGAGTGATCTTGTCCAGCTCTCCATTGTGTAAAGCAAGTTCTTGATACATGATATGCCCCATCAAAAGTCGTATAGTGCATTGGTCCAGAGGAAGTTGGTTTCCAGGTATTTCACAGATTTCTTTTTGGTGGTCTTCTACGTGAAATGGCCGCAGATTGACGTCAAACTTATGGGTCTGTATTTGGTCGCAAGTGCACGGCTACCGCTTTTGTGGAGCGGCGTAATGTGGGTTGTTTTCCAATGTGTGGGAAGAATTCCAGTACCAAAAAAATTATGTAACAGAACGGATAATGGTTTAGTTAGCTTTCCAGCAGCCCCAAAGAACAGCTTGTTGAGACCTTATTCGCACCGCCTCGAAGATTAGTTCTTCGAAAGTCGCCTCTTTTCAAAACACAATATTGTAAACAATTGACCTTCCGATGCTCTCATAATAAAGTAGAATAAAAATTGCTTCTCTTATGACCGCGGACTAGAAAAATCAGGAAGAATGAGCAGTCTTGTTTGTGTAGTCCGGTATTTCGAAACCGTCATCATCCTCTGAACCCGTCTCCCCATAGATAATTTCTCCGGCCGCCAGCAAGCAAAGGTTTTTCATTGCCTCTGCTTGGTCCAGTACCAATTTCGTGTGAAGGAACTGAGACTGGAAATATCGGAAGCAGTGCTACCCATCTCTTCCGGGACTGACATCATTTACTGGACAGCAGTTTTTCTCTCCTGAACCATTCAAACTACTAAAACGTCATCCTCAGGATATAATCATAAGGAGAAATGTCATTGTAAGCAAGATATATACTTTATTTCCCTTGACGGTACCCGTAAACTGACAGCAAGTATGATAATTATTAACTGTATAACAGTTACTTGTGATCTTTTGCAATTAGATATACAGCAATTGCTGGTTGCTAGCAGATCGGTGCAGCAAGCAGCTATCAGAAGTTCGTCGTGTTTGGAAAATCAAGCTATTCGCCGTGTTAGTTGAGACTTCGTATACTGTAAAGGCCGCATTTCCGCTGTTTCAGCAGAACGTCTTACACAGCAGTTTTTAAAATATTGGTCTCCTTTTTAGTAGCTTTTGTTAGTCAT